GTACGGTTCTTGTAGGTCAAAATCTATCTCGTTTAACTCAGTGTGGAGACCGTCCCGCTTACATGACCACTGTCACTGACACCAGCATGTGGTCTGATTAGAGAGTTCCTTCAATGTATGTGTATTTGGTGATGGTTGCAATCACGTTTACTTTGAATGCTAGTGTTTTAAACATACTAATTTAAAGACTTATACTGGAGTGACATTTTAATACTTTGGACGAACACATTTTATCATGAAAACATAAATTCTAATTCTAGAAATTTTGCGCAGCAATGTTGCGCAACCATTTTAAAACAGATATTCATGTATGTTATTAAGTTCATAAATATCAATACGGTTTTGCATATTTACCAATAAATGTAAAATCTGTTTTCGTTCCAGCCACCAACGTTTCTTAACTTACCTGAGGAACTGTCTATATCGGAGGATATTGCCACGCCTTCTATGTTATATGAGCTTGATGTCACGGACTTCTCGGAGAATGACAGCGTGTGCTGTACCCTCTCAGAGGTGGTGCCCTGGTCTCCTAATTTCCAGTTAGTTTTTACAAACAATGGTAAGATGAATTAAGCACTATAGTTAGTCCTCTCTATCAATATTTTGTTTGTAATGAATACTTGAGGTATTACAGTACCAAACGCTATATCACACCATGATATATCTCTGTAATATCGCATCATGCATTAATAATATGCTAATTTCTGAGAGACAAGTTCATATTATAGTTGTTTTGATAACAATGTTATTTTACTAATTGAAGTTATTGTGTTTTTATCATAAAACAATTATGACGAATGCACTTATTTGTGCTAGTATAGCTAATTTATTATTGCGCTATTTTAACATTGCACTAATTTAGCAATGCGCTAATTTGCCAAGAAGTGACAATGCATTAAAAGTGTATATTGCAAACTTAAGTATGTTATCAGTATAATGATTGGTCATTAAGCTTACTTATGTTACTTATCAGATCTAAATACAACATAGCATATGACATGGTGATATATTGTTGTAAAAGTGACAGCTTACAACCTTCAATACCTTTTTTTCAGTATATCAACTTCATACGACAATACAGGCTGCCTTCGACTACAAAGAAATTTCCAACTACTACAGAATCCGGTTCTGTTGTTCTGATTCTTATGGCGTGTCATCGAATTTTTTAGAAGTGTTTGTTACAGATGTTCAAAACAAAAAGATATATTCACCTCCAAGTAAGTTTACAACCATTTTGATTCAACAGTCTTGTAAAATTGAATACGTTATTATAGATTCAATATGGGTGTATGTCTTAATTTATAATATGTTCGTGTTTGAATTAAGAGATGTCACGTGATATCACATGTAACGTGGTGAGAGAAACCTTCCTTTTTATCACGAGGATATCAAATCAAAGTTTAGATAATATTTAATATGGGGAACGAATTGTAATAGAAATTTTTATCGGGTGAGTATGATTAATCATGTGTGATTTCCAGATATAAATGTAAAATGAAGAGCTGTAGTGTATATTATCTTTGCAATCTCACTCCTTTCCACAGCTTGGTTTCTGACAGCCATAGGAATCTGTCTGGTCCCCGTGACAATACTCTTCTTTTCAACTTGCTGTTTAATGTGGACAACATTCTGCGCTGAACCGGATATTGAATACTTTTTCCTCAGATGAACATTGTGACCATATGGGAAACTTTTGACAAGGCTTGCTGGTGTTTTTATAATGCTGTAACTGCATCAAGCACACATGTTAAGTGCAATACTTATGTAAATAATAAATACATTGAAAAATCGAACAATCGATGTCAAAAATGTTAATATAATGTAACGTATATGCCAAAAATGGAGTGAACTCAATGGTATTGACCTGTGGTGTAGAAATTTTAATACTCACTGAAGTTTTCACGATTGTTTTAACTGATAGATCTATATGTATGTCAGAGTCGGATAGAGACGTCGGAATACTGTAGATTTCTCGTTTACCTGAATCATTCCACTTTTCTTAATGTCCAGACAATTGATGAAAAACATAATTGAAAATAGAGACATCAAAAGTGCTTCACAACAGAAATTGAAATAAGAACAAAAAACTGTGGGACATACAATAAGGTAAATGATAACATACATGATAACTATCACTTCAAACGGCAAACTTTATATCTCGTAATGTATAGCCATTTTCTCGATGAGATCAATATGGCGAACGTCAGGCTTCCTTATAATCTCAATTAACCTGCACCTCTCAAAACCTTGTGTGGTGAGTGTATCTGCCAGTTGTCATCATTGTCACAAAAATTGTGATATTGGGGGATTGCCCTTACATATCGAATCAATTGTCACAAGTAAATACTATTGGCTCTGGACGTAGGGATGCTGTTATTCGAAATGGAAAGTTCGCCATACGTGAATAAAAATACAACGATTATCATGCATCTTGTCGGAAGGTAAGCTGTGTCTATATGTTTCCATGTATGTACAGAGTCTGTCGTGTCTTTGTAGAAGATAAGCCAAGCTGTGTCGGTATGTGTCGTTGTATGTACAGAGTCTGTCGTGTCTTTGTAGAAGATGGGGCAAGCTGTGTCTACATGTGTCGTTGAATTGTACAGAGTCTGTCGTGTCTTTGTGTAAGATGTTATTGATTACAAATGTGTTCTATAATACAAAACAGTGGAGCTGTCAACCTACCAAAGTATCATCAGCGAACATTTATGGACAGTCAGCTGTTAAAAAACATCGATATCCGGAAAATATATATTCACGGAAAGAAATGAAGGACATTGGAAAGTCATCGATTTTAGACTAATGTTTTAGTACGATTGTGTGCGTAACTGAGCATGACAGCGAAACAGACATACTCAAATGTTAAAAAAAGTAGTGAAATGTGTAACACTATATCAGATCACCATTTCACTGTTCAGTCAAGTAACATTTCAGTTTAGGGTTTTTTTTTATACTCAATCAAGTCTAATTTGACAGGACACATTATTACGTGACGTAGATTTCTATGAATACCACATATATTTACGTTATTTGAATGACAGTACAATAAAATATTTGACCTTGAACTTTGCTGAGTTGGAATGGCTGGTTTGTCACGGCTGTGGACAAAAACTCATAGCCTTTGTGCTTGGGGTTAGCAATCAACTCGCGGTGAAACTTTGTCATAGTCATTTTGAATACCATACATTTTTATGATGAACCTGTAAAGGTTAATAATCATTTGATGAAGCTGTATGTCTTAATATGCATTCAAATTATAATATTCATTTTTAATCTGTCTCAAATAATTCATTACAGAATGGCTCATTTAGTTCTGTTTGACAAACGTACTGTTTTATGTATATTGTACATTATCTGTTACATGTTGTTAAATCATAAAATGTAAATATGGTATTAGTTATCAATAAAAGATCACTTTTGTAGAAAAAATGTCTATGTTTAATGTTTCAAGAGAAGACGCGTAAATAAGATAAGTTTGTATAAAGATGCATACATCTCATGATCAGCTTGACGGACAAAGATCGAGGCAAAAACCTGTACCCAATGGAACGCAAGTTTAAGACTTCAATTTTAAAAAATGAATCATTTAAAGAACACAGCGCAATGTTTGTTTTCTAGTCAAGTAGAGAATGTTGGATTCTGGACTAATATCCATTTTTAATATTAAAAACGTATGAAATATTATAACAAATATGTGATTCAGGTATATTTTGAGTTCATATTACTAATTGTTCACATCACTATAAAATCCATGTCAGCATTTATACGTTCCGCTAACGTTGGGTCTAAACTTTCAACGCGGAGAACTTTTAACATACACTTTAAAGAATGTATAGCTAGAACTTTTAAAATTGAATTTCTAGAGTCCATTTAAATTTCCTTCAGTAAAAATAAGAAGGATAGAAATAATGATTTTGCACACGCTGCACAACATAACAGTAAGGCGACAAGGAACAATTATGAACTTACTGAGTCTCGATTCTTTGGTCCTGCTACTGACAGGTGTCACTCAAGGAATACATTTCTACCACATATAAAAGATGGGCAGGAAACGTTCAGTATCTCCTTAGCTACAACCAATCAATTCGAGCTAACTAGCCTTGCTGTGTTTAAATACAATCATACAATTCTTCTCAAAAATTATATAACCATTTTTTTTCTAAATTGAACATGAGAGATAAAAGGAAGAACATTAATTCAACGTTAGATGACATTGAAATGCTGAGTAATTTTCCACGCGAAAGAAATTCATTTGTATTATCTTTATTCCGGAACTCTGCATCTGACAAAAATTAACAGCCTCTCCACCACGTTTACGTCTTAATATTGTTTCCAGCCCTTGCATTTTCATTCGTCGGATTTCTTCTTCAGAATTGTTATAATCGAGATAAAAAAATAATTTCGTTTACTCTTCAATGAACGTTATTAGGAAATCGCTATTTATGACTGGTAAACTTTAACTAAAATTTGTCTGATGCGTGTTTTCGTGTCCTGTCTGCAGATTGGTGAAAGGGACGTAATCAGGACTACCTATGTGTTGGTGTATTTGGGGGCCAACCTTTGACCCTGATCTCTTTACGTCACATTCGCGTCACTTGACACATGACCGACTTGAGATGAATGAATTATTAAAGACGTAACAGTGTTATTGTCATTATTGCAATATAACAAAAACCGTCGAGTTAGTTGCTTTCCTCCCAACAAGCATTTTTCTCACAACATTACCGATAATTCAAGAAATAGTCCATCGGGACATATACGACGTCAAAGTTTCAAAGGAAAGCATCGAGTGGTTGACATATTTACCTTTGACCTTTTTATCCTAACATTGGCCAATCAAAAATGTGTTTACGTGGACGATCGCCTCGCGCAAGGATATCGCGTACTTGCTAGAAGGAGTTGTTAGTTCCTCTCGTGGAAGGTAAAAAACATGTTGTAGAAGTGATGTCTGTCGATTGAAAACTTGTATGTATAGATATTTAAACTGTTTCTTCTTTTTTCAGGCTGACAATCAGTCACATTGGAGCTTAAAACACATTCAAACTTACCCTAGGACGGACTTTATCGGACGCAGTACAGTAAGTAATGCCGAAATGTCAGACACGTCAACATGGTTTCTCTAGATTTTCTGCCAACGTGGCTCCTGTAACTGTCAAAATTTTCGCAATCCGTTTTATATATGTGGCATATCTCTTGATAAATACATGACATCATGATAAAACTTAACCATGTATACATTAAATGTATCTTTTTTCTCAATGTGCATGGGGTTTCAATAAAAAAATTGACGCCGGACCCTAGATGGATGTGGTGACACCGAAGTAAAGGAGGGTGGTACCGGGATATCACTTCAGTACAGAGTTAGGTGTAGTGCGTGCGAAAAGCTGTTATATCCCAATATTTGAAAGTTATAAACAATGTCCTATTAAGTTGATAGTGGGACACACCTATTATAAATATTAAATAAATTTCAGTAGGGTTGGCTGTATATAGGTCCCACAACAGGCCGCTTACCAACTTGAAAACCGGTTTGTAGGACAGAATCCTTATCCAAAATAGTACAACACGTTTGCGTGAAGTAGTTTTTGCTATTTTATGTCTTGTTTGGAAGTAATTTTGATTGATCATTCAGGTATTTACAAGTTTGTCCAGCTTCAGATTTTATATAAAACTTTCATACTTCTTAAATGGGCATCATTTATTCCTTCATTCAAACAGCCTATATAAACTACACCGTTATTTTCCAAAAGAATATCTAAGAAAGAATCACACTTTCATGTAAGCTTAATAGTGATGGAATAATTAGAAACATTCAAGTTAGCATAGGAATGGTTCAGAAAATACACGTCTATATATGTAGTCTGTATTCATCATCTTCATTGGTTTAATTTAGATATATTGTAACAACATGCATATGATGTATTATAAGTATATTACATGAAACTGCCACATCTGAAATGTAAACATCTCAAAAAGGATGTAAAAAGGATGGTTCAGGAATATATACCCAAATATTCATTTGAATGGGTTCAAAAAATAAATAGAAGTTTTCTGTTAGGGTGGGAGTGAGTGTAACTTTGAGCATAACACCCGTCTGCCTGAGTCGAGACAGCTCTGTTTGTAATCTTTCACCTTCCAACAGTTTTAACAGGTTTTATTTCATTAAATTATAATCTTATAACGATTTGAGCGACCTTGTGGATGATCTTTTCTCACAAATTAGTAAATTGCCACTGTCGGCCATTGTTTGTGTTTATAGCAACTAAGTAAAGCATTCTCACCTTAGAACTTGCTTACAGAATAATCTTCGTCGTTGGAGTCAGATTGAGAATTTCAAATATTTTGTAATTTAAATACTTCTATTATCTTTGGACTTTAACTATTGCATTTTGCAAGGTTGATAACATTAACTACTTCTGAAAAATACAAGTGTCCCATAAAGTTTTAAAGGTGTGATTTACAATAATCATTGACTACTCCCTGTTTAAGTTTCATATATCTCCTTTGAAATTTGTGGAACAAATGTGAAAATGTGTTCATAACAAAAAGTCGGATAATTTCACAAATCCATATTGGTGGAATTCTCACTCTAAATGGCTTTAGAAGGTACCAAAAAATTGTCATGTTTGATATTGCATTGATAACAAGGTAGTAACATGATGGGTCTCACAGAAAATTTCTACTAGTTCTGTTGAAAGATTTCACTGAATAATAAACAAATAAACATTTGTTTTGATCCTTTTATTTCAGTCTGTACTGTACGACTTGGAATCGCCCAATTGATAACGAGTTCAGAACATGGCTACAAACGAAGAAGTGGTCCGGAATGTCGATGCAGAGGCCTATGACCCGGATAAGCCCCAACAGTATGGGGAGGCTTTTCCCCCCCTTGCCCCCGCTGCCACTTTTGGGGCAGTGGGACCCAATTTGAATGTAGCTATGGAGAAGACGATCTGGAGTAACAAAATGACAATGAAAACATCAACTTGCACTCAGGTAGAGAACCTTTACATTTATTTGTGACTTTGATGAAATTAATTTTGACATTTATTTACAAGAATTCTTTTCAGGAATTAGACATTTTCTTGTCTGATTATACTTATACATCATATTTCTTCAACTTTATGTTTTTTAGGTGTTTACTGTGCCTATGGAAGAAAGAAGATATAAAGAATTCAATGAACAGAGTTTTGGAGATGAAACTGACCAAGCAAAGATTTGTAAAGAAATAATGGCTCGTAACAGTATGTATCTGTATTTTTAAACTTTCAGAATGTTGGTGAAATCAACAAAATGCAAGAGTCTGCATTGATCTTTATATACTTAATGGGAAAAGCTTGAATTTAGAAGTTTCTAGTCGATACCACACATACTTTCCATCATTAATGTATTAGATGTATCAGATTGAAGTTTGATAACCTGGAATTATACTGACTAAAATTGTTTTTTTAGATGTGTCCATCGAGATGAGTTGTGCTAAGGATCAGAGCTTGACAGTGGTAATTCATGGAAAAGATCAAAATGTTATGAAAGCCAGGAGAGAGATTGTCAGTCGTTTACAGACACAGGTAAATTTGAAATTTCAAAATGCGAATGATCTAATTGATTAAATTTAAAAAGAAGTGGTGTCTTAGATACTGAAATAGATGAAATTACGTGTCCTCCCTAAGAGTATAAAGTGTGTCAGACTACAGAAGAGCTCATCAAGTATCTGGCAAAAGTGGTATATTAAGTATGTTGTACTCTTAACGCAGACTAGAATTATTTGCTGTTTTACAAGTATACATGTAAAATAATTTGCAGCAAGAATGATTTGTGGAGTTTGTCATCAAAATGTAAATTTGAATTAAAATTCTGAGAAGAAATAAAACAGATTGTTACTGAGCGCAATTTTATTGACCGTTTCTCAGGCCAATTTTATTGGGTTTTTTTCAGGCTAATACTTTGTTGAAAATACCAAGAGAACACCACAGATTCATCCTTGGAAAAAGCGGTAAGAAACTCCAAGAGCTGGAACTGGCTACACAAACCAAGATTACAATCCCTCGACCAGAGGAGAACTCCGACATGATTAAAATTACCGGAACCAAAGAAGGCATTGACAAGGCCAGACATGAGATACAGATTACATCAGATGAACAGGTACTTCAAATTTTTTCTCACGTTAAAACTAAAGAAATGTGAAAAGCAATATAGCATTAAAGTTATTATACTGAAATTGAATTCATACAAAGAAGACAGATTTAGCTTATTGATGGTTGATGAAACTTTAATATGATGTAGATTATATTGAATTAAAGTTAAACCTATGTTTGATAAGATTATTACAAAATTAAATGGTGGGAGGGGTCGGGAAACAGATGAATTGTTTTTATTTGTGGGTTGTTGAGACAACACTAGATTGCATTTTATGTGTGAATTGTGCAGTTACAAATTAAACTAATGGGTGACTGGTTTAACGAGAATCCCAGAAAATTAAATTGTGAGGGTAAACTGGCTACATAAAAACATATTTTGTGGGACGAACAGTTCAGTTGTTTTGCTTTTTAAAGAGATAAAAATTTAATTGTTAGTTTATTATTCTAAATGCACATTTGTTCCCAGTCCAAATGCTCAAGGGAGATAACTGGTGCTGGTTTTGAAACTCTTGTGAGATGCGAGAACTAACACAACTTCGAAAAATAATGGTGAAGGATAACTCAAATATACATGAGGTGTCCACATGACTTGGCTGAAATTGCCTTGAAACATCAATGGGCCCATTTATTAGAAGCGTTGTGTCGGTTTAGTAAAGCTGACTTGTAGGAGCTTTGTTATACAAAATCACATCAATATAATGTAGCGGACTAGCCACAAGTTTGTTTCATTATCCCCCGCGAAACGCATATGCGGGGGTTATTAAATTGGGCTCTGTCCGTCCTACCGTGCGTGTGTGCGTTCGTCCGTCCAAGTGCTTTTCTCGGCTATAACTTCGAAACCGTTCAACTCAACTTCACAAAACTTCCTATATATATTAAGTTGGTGCCCTAGTTGTGCCTTTTGCTAATGACGACATTTCACTTTTTATATTTTTTCTGTTGCCATGGAAACAGTCAGAAAACAACAAAAGTAGGCTTTTCCGGGCTATAACTTCGAAACTGTTCAATTCAACTTCACAAAACTTTCTGTATATATTAAGTCATTGCCCTAGTTGTGCTTTTTGCTATTGTCTACATTTTACTTATTATATATTTTTTGTTACCATGGAAACATAATCAGAAAACACCAAAAGAGGGCTTTTCCGGGCTATAACTTCGAAACCGTTCAATTCAACTTCACAAAACTTCCTATATATATTAAGTTGGTGCCCTAGTTGTGCCTTTTGCTAATGGCGACATTTCACTTTTTATATTTTTTCTGTTACCATGGAAACATAGAATACACCAAAAGACTTTTCTGGGCTATAACTTCCAAACCGTTCCACTCTACTTCACAAAACTTTCTGCACATATTAACTTAGTGCCATAGTTGAACCTTTTGCTATTGACAACATTTCATTTTTTTATTATAATTTTTCAGTTTTTGCAAAAATATAGTTAAAAACCTCAAAAGAAGGCTTTTTCTGAGCTACAACTTCAAGGCTTTGGCCCCTCGGAGTGTGATCATTATTGTTACATGTTTTACATCTCTTACATAGTAAATCTTTTGTTGCCTGAAGATAGCTGTTATGCCTGAAATGTTACTGAAATACATTTGTTGTGTTGATTCTATATTTTCAATTATATCTCTATATATATATCTATAATGTTGAAGTTGAGGAGATATGAGTTTATTATTTTCTACTAGTGCTTTCACTGTAATAGACCTTCACGTGCAAAGTACTGATACATAAGTGTGTGAAGTCTCAAATTATTACAGTGCTATATATAGCATATTTGGGTTCCATACCAACACATGTGCGCGGGGGATAATGCCACGCTTTGCGGCAGCTTGTTTTTGTTTGGATTTGACATGATGAGAAATAATGGCAACACATGGCAGAAATGGTAAAAATGGCATATGAGAAGTACTTGTCATCTTGGAAACTTTCAGTATACATGTGTTAGCTAATAGATAGAAAATTAACAACTTTCCCTGTTTGAAATGCAAGGCAACATACTGATCTTTTTTCTGTATTGAAACATTTATGTTTAGTGTTTATGCATGCAGAAATAGGAAACATTAACAATCTTCATCCTTGTTTAGAAAAATATACTTACCATTTTAGTATCAATATTTTGGGAAAACTGACAACAATTTTGCTCAGGTAAGCAACATGTGTTTGGAAGAGAAAAAAGGGTAACAAATGAATTTTAGTGGGTGTCGTGTTAACATGGAAAATAAAATTCTGTAGGGGTTGCTTGATGTAACAAATTCAATGTTGTTAATTATTGGATATTGTATACATGCTTGGGTTTGTTGTATGGGTGGTTGGGGTAAAAAATAATTGCCTATATAACGGGTAAACAAGCTATCAGTATTAGCTAAAATTCTTTTTTTTTTTTTTTAATTTCTGACTTTTTTTTGCAGGCTAAACTGGCTTTTGAGCGTCTACCTGTACCAAAAGTGTATCATCCCTTCATTTGTGGACCTAAAAATGATAATATAAAGAAATGGATTGAGGAAACTGGAGCCAAAATCCACATGCCCCCACCTAGTGTGATGAAAGATGAGATTGTTGTGTCCGGAGAGGTTGAAGGAGTCCTCAAATGTAAAGCTAACATCATGAAGATTTATGAAGAGAAGGTAGATATTGCAGTGGCTTGGCTTGGGGCTGGTCAGGGGAGAAAATTTTGAGCTGTTCTTATCCCTTATATCAACCCATAGTATTTTTGAAAGGAAAGAGAAATAGTACTGGTAGATGTTGCCAATGTTACTTATTATGACTTGATTTATTCCAAGAAATACAGAGTGAAATGCAGATATTTATATTATTTCAAGATATGTACTCCCCATATATTTATTTTTTAAACCGTGTTGAATAAACATGAATTTTGAGAACAAAATTCTGTACTATGTTTTGGAAATCCATCATTAGCTGGTTCTTTGGAATATAATTACATGCTAGTTGTTTTATTTTCATGCAGAAGCGCAAGTGTCAGACAGTGTCTGTGGAGGTGAGAAAGTCTCAGCACAAATACATCATTGGACCACGTGGAAACGGGGTCCATGAAATATTGGCTGCGACAGGAGTGTCTGTTGAGGTACCACCAGTTGATAGTTCACTTGAAACCATCACTCTTCGTGGAGAACAAGACAAACTTGGACCAGCACTCACCATGGTTTATTCTAAGGTATAGTATGAATTTATGAGTCCTATTTTTGCATCAACCAACAAAAAATTGTAAAAAAAAAATCAAGAACTGCATTTGTCGTATTTTTCTTCTAATTTTTTATTAATTTTCAACTAATTTCAGAGAGTTGATGAAAATTGTTAGTAGCTTATATCTTAACTCATGATTTGACTTTAGAATGAAAATATATCTTGTTAAATTAATTTCCAGGCCAACAGCGTTGTGTTTGCGGAGGTTATGGCTGCAACCTGGCTTCACAAGTATGTAATCGGACGACAGGGTGCAAATGTTAGGAGGATCACTGAACAATTCTCAAAGGTCAGTATGAAGGACAAATGAATTGAATTTATTTTTAATGACAATTTGAAGAAAATATATGTTTTACATAGAAAGACATTTGATAAAGATTGTATATGTGTTGAGTTATTCAATGCATAAATTTACCACTAAGCAAGAGTTGTATGTCCTTGTACTTTATGTGAATATTGTTTTTGACCTGTTAAATTTTCAAACTACAGGTACACATTGAATTCACCGATGGAGCAGACAAGATTATTGTGGAGGGCCCACCAGAGGAAGTAGAATCTGCTGTCAAGGAATTGGAGGCAGTTGTAAAGGATCTGGTGAGTAAAACCTAAACATTGAGTATATAGGCTTTAATATAACAACATTTAGATATCCTACGTTTATGGTTGTATTTGAAGACTGCAAATTATTTTAATTGCAAACGATTTTTAAGACGAAAACTAAAACTATTGTTGATTTTAGCAATCGCGCATGGACTTCACAGAAGTAAACATTGATCAAAGGTTCCACAAGCACATCATCGGAAAGGCTGGACAGAACAGTGAGTTAGATTGATGTATTTTACCGAGTATAGGTCCAATCTCCAGAATAAGCTCACCATCATATTAAAGGTTAATTCAATCCTATATCATCAGTTAAGTGAAAGTCTGAAACTTTTCTAGTAACAGAAAATAATGACAATAGAAAGTTGTATTTTTGGGAGGGATTAGAAGAATGCTTTATTTTTGTATGAAAAATTTGTTTTAGACTTTTCAAACTATTATATTAAAGAGGGAAAATAATTTTGGTATCATTTCATTTGTACACAAATTGTTATTTTAGTTTTATTTATTTGAAAAAATTGTTTTGGGCAATTTGGAATACAGGATTATTATTTTCCTGGTTAAATGTTAAAGCATTTTACTGATCTGTGTTATATTATAGAGATAATTAAAATTATTGCTTAACAAATGGCTTAATTAATGATTTTTCAGAAAAAAACATTCCATCTTGTATTATCAATGGTTTAATAATATATACATCAATCCTTTTCCATTTTGGTAGGTTGTATCCAAGTATAAAATTCCAACATGGTGACCGCTGGTCAAGATTTTCTCTTGCACTGATTCTAATGAAAGCAATTGATATGAGAACAATGATGAATATTTCAGTTACAAGGATTAAGAATGACACTGGAGTGTCCATTAAGATACCATCTGACACTGAACATAGCAACATCATTAGGATTGAAGGAGATCCAAAAGGTGTGATTCAGGCCAAGGAAGAACTCATGGAGATGGCACAGCGCATGGTAAGGCTTTTTACCTGCTCAGCTTTGATTGCTTTCTATATGTTTCATCTAACAATGTTATATATATATATATATATATATGTGATAATACATACTTTTTTAGATGAAGATTTATTTTGAGACATGTTGTTGTTATTTGCTATTTGAATAAAATGGAGGTATTGTATTTGCAGGAAAATGAAAAGAGCAAAGACATTCTGATCGAGCAGCGCTTCCATCGTTCCATCATTGGAGCCCGTGGGGAGAATATCAGAGAGATCCGGGATCGCTTTAATCAAGTCCAGATCACCTTCCCTGATCCTGGAAAAAAGAGTGATATTGTTACATTGAGGGGACCAAAGAATGATGTGGACAAGTGTTTCAAACATCTCTCACAATTACAACAAGATATGGTAAGATTTCTTCAGCTTGACTTGAATATGTGATAAAGACAAACTTGCAAAAGAGTATATTTTAGATGTATGTGTTTGAAGAAGTGTTGATCTGATCATTGAATATTGGAGTAAAGAATGCAAAGGCATCTCTGGTAACAGGAAGATATAAAAGATGGTGTTTAATTATTGGGACAGATATATATCAATTTAGATTTTATGAGCAATTTGTAGATTTCTTAGTTATTTTTTACCTCCAGGTGGCAAGTAACTACCAGGCCCATGTCCACATATTTAAGGATTTCCACAAGAATGTCATTGGTAAAGGAGGAGCTACAATCAGGAAGGTAAGTCATTTTGTCTGATCTCATTGTGTCTGTGTCATTAGTAAAGGAGGAGGGGCTACAATGAGGAAGGCAAGTCATTTTGTCTGATCTCATTGTGTCTGTGTCATTAGTAAAGGAGGAGGGGCTACAATGAGGAAGGCAAGTCATTTTGTCTGATCTCATTGTGTCTGTGTCATTAGTAAAGGAGGAGGGGCTACAATCAGGAAGGCAAGTCATTTTGTCTGATCTCATTGTGTCTGTGTCATTGGTAAAGGAGGAGGGGCTACAATCAGGAAGGCAAGTCATTTTGTCTGATCTCATTGTGTCTGTCAATAGATACTACCTGGTATACTTTTTATCAAATTTTGTTTTCAGTAGAGACTAAAGATATTGTCCATAATTCACATAAAGGCATTTGTACTGTTGTTGTTCACTGTATAGGGACCAGTGACACCTACTGCGAATGGAGAAGAGAACAAAAATATGCTTTAAGACATGCTTAGACGGTTAATGGAATTTGTGGAAATTTATTCTAATACAATATCACACCACTTTTTAGAATACATAACTGGAATACTTTAAGTTTGTGGAACTGTGTGATTGTTCCTAATCATGTTTCTGATGTCCCCTTTATTAAATAACCAATTATGACTCTGTACCCTAAAGGCATCAAATTGGACATGACAAAATTTGACTTACCTGGGTTTACAATCCAATTATTTATATTATTTTAAACCTGTGTTTCAGATCCGTGAGGACACAAATACTAAGATTGACCTGCCTAGTGAGGACAGTGAATCAGATGTCATTTTGATCACCGGTAAAAAGGCTGATGTGGAGGCTGCTAGAGCACAGATTGAGGCTATACAGAAAGATCTGGTAAGTGCTTCTTAGACCAAGAAGACATATTGACTTGCCTGTGTAAATATTTTTGCCTTGATAATTCTAAAAGTAAAACAATGTTACTGAAAGAAGCTGTTGCTTGATAATAGCTATATTACCTACACTGTTACAAGCTGTTAAATGTTTCATCTTTCAAAGTCGCACTTTCAAACAATAATTCTTGAATTTTAGGCAAACATTAAAGAAGCTGTGGTAACCATCCCACACAAATTACACAACTCGATCATCGGAGCCAAGGGAAGGCTAATTCGTGCTATTATGGAAGAATGTGGAGGTGTCATCATTCGCTTTCCTTCTGAGGGAAACGTAAGCGACAAGGTTATTATTCGTGGACCAACTGCGGATGTCGAAAATGCCAAATCGCAATTGATGGAGTTGGCTTCTGAGAAAGTAAGCACATTTTTGTTCTCTGATTTAATATCTTGCCATTTGTGGCTTTTCAATATTTGCTAACTATAGGAGGGATTGATAGGGTACATTTATGAATGAAAAGTCCCACGTCGGGAACAAGTGGTGGCTGTAGTGTCCATTTCATGCTGTCATATCTGGATTTATCTAAAACAACTTTATATGTAGGTAGAGGTGCACCAAAGTGATCTTCTCAAAAATAAGGTCACTCTGGCAATAAAAATTTATTTATATTAAAAGAAGTTTCTCTGGGCATTTTCTCTACTACACTTCTAGTCACTGGAATTTCATACTTTCTGTAGAAGCTCACCTTGGTGGTGGAGGGCAGGGGATTGTATTTATAAAAAGTAGATCATTCCACTTTACCTTTTGACCTTTGACCTGCATCAAAGAAAAAAATCTGTCTTGACTCTATCTCTTACATTACCTGTCACTGGAACTTAATACTTAGAGAATAGGTTCACTTTAGTTAAGTAATGTGCTTTACATCAGAAGTACAACAAATCTTTGTGGAGTCATCTTCTACACTGCTAATTCCTGGAACATTGTACCTGTAGTCTTGGTTTATCCTTGCTTGGAGAAATAGTGTTATTGATGTGTGGTTAAAAGCCCGGGTCCCATTTGGCAATTCACAAGGTTTATTTTCTATTATAGCAACAATCAAGCTTCACAGCTGAGGTTAGAGCAAAGCCAGAGTATCACAGATTCCTCATTGGCAGGGGTGGCACCAACATCAGGAAGGTAAGTTGATAACTGTTGTTGGTTTCCTTAACATGTTTGATTGGTCTTCATTGTAATATAAACTCTAAAACTTGATGATCTTAACACTAGATTTAATGATGTCAAATGAATAGTTCTTGGAGGAAATTGATTATGATGGTGCCCTTAATTTTGTTTACTAGGTGCGTGAAAAGACAGGGGCCAGAGTTATCTTCCCTAGTTCTGAGGACCAAGACCAAGAACTCATCAGCATTATTGGCAAGAAAGAATCTGTTGACATGGCTAAAGTGGAACTGGAAGGTCTCATTAAAAACCTAGTGTGTAACTTTGTAACTATTTATATTCTATTTGTTTTAATTTAATGAAACTTGCTAGTGGTTTATTTAGTTCTGTTATGTGCAAGAACAAGTAACTGGGTTTATCTGATTAACAGAATGTTTGGTTACTACTGACATTGTTGTCTGGTTAGCATGTCATCTATTCAATAATTGCTGTCGGTGTCCAGTACAGAAAAAGCCCCTTTACCCTATTCATATATCAATATCCATGCCTCATGTTGACGACTATAAATGTACTTAAGTAGTGGCAGAATGGGTAACCTGATATCTGGTTCAAGGATTGGTTGGTACCGGGTTAGTGTTCCAACTATTTGATAACCATCTTCAGTGACCTATACAATAAAAATACCTCTCTCCCTGTTTGAATCTCTGCATCCAAGACTCGACTTGATGACTACATGCCTACACGTGTTCTGAAGTACAACTTCTTAATGCTTTCGTTTCTTTTCCATTTACATTGTAGCACACAAGCCCCTTTTTTATAGCTGGGGAGTGAGCAAGATTTGTATTGGAAATCATAAATATCTATTAGAATAATGAGGTCAAACACTTCGCCAGTATGTTACACTTGTTGAAGGATATCATTTGGTGTTGTGAGTTTTCTGGTAAATCTGAATGAAACAAGATTTCAGCACTAAATTTAATGGAAATCCTAACTGTACAAGAAGAAAGGCAGTTAGAATAAAGTGAAGGATACACTTAACAGTACAGGTTTTTTAATGCTCACTGACAATTTTGGGGGGGAGCACCTAGTTGCCGCCTTGTCATACTGTCCTTTCAGGTCCATACTTTCGTGTCCAGAGCATAACTTTGACCACAGTTAAGCAAGGATCTTGAAACTTGGTATATACATTGTTCATACTAAGGGGATGTGAACTGTATCAGGGCTTCAAACTTTGTTAAAATTTTGTGTGCATTAAAGTCGGTTTATGAGGAGCATTTATCAATTACATTGGTATACCTGAATAAAACTGATTATTTAGTCATATCTGTTTCGGTGAGTTATTCATGTTGCTTATTGTGATTGAACAGCATGTGCATCAATGGGGATGAAGTGCAGTATATATTTTTTTCTAAAGAGTTATTCATAAAAGTCTGTTTCCTTGCAGGATAACATTGTTGAGGGGGAGATGAATGTTGACCCAAAACATCACAGACACTTTGTAGCAAGAAGAGGCGAGGTTCTCCGACAAATTGCAGAGCAGTACGGAGGTGTGACAGTTAGCTTTCCTCGCAGTGGTGTCAAAAGTGACCGAGTTGTGATCAAGGGCTCCAAAGATTGTGTTGAGGGAGCCAAGAAACGCATTCAAGAAATTGTCTCCGATCTGGTAAGATTGTAGAAACATTACTTTTTGTAAATGTAGACTTGCAAAAATACAACACTCAGAATTCTTTATATCTTTTTCACTAAGTGGCAAGGTTGGAATTTTATCCAGTTATTGATCCCTGGATTTCAGGGATAAATCTAGGTAAAACTTCTTCACTCAGACATTTTACACAAAAAACTTTCTCTTTTGGAACACTTTATATTGAGATATTTTTGCCCTGTTTGTCCAATATGGAATTTCATGAGAAGTTTGACTTGTAGAGAAGTATTTGGATATATGCAAATCTCTTTTCTGGATTTTGAGGGACAAAATTAAGCACAATGAAACTTGCCCTCAAGTTAAAATATTCCCCCTTTTCAGAAAGGGCACATTGCTTGATCCCTGCTATTAAATGTTCAAAAAGTGACCAATCTAACTGTTATTTCAGGACTCGCAGGTGACGATGGATTGTGTGATCCAACAGCATCACCACCGCACAGTGATGGGCACACGTGGCTCAAATGTTCAGGAGATCACACGCAATTATGATGTTGGTATCAAGTTTCCAGAAAGACCTATAGCCAATGGAGACAAAGGTACACCGCAGCTTGATTTGACATCAAGCAAATGATGTTAATCTCCATTGAAGTTACATTAGATATCTCTTCTGTTACGAAAACAGTTTTATTGCTTTTGCATCTTACTTCTTTGTTCTGTAATTTCATTGTTTTCCATTCAAAATTTCAATTCAGCTGTAGGAAAGCTACAACAGAGAATGTTGAATTTTGATTATGGATTGTTTGTACAGAAAATAAGGATGGAGGTATGGTAAATGGTGAAGTGAATGGTGAAATGCAGAATTCTTCTGACCAGTCTCCAAAGAAAAATGACATCATTGTCATTACAGGCAAATTGGAAAATTGTGAACAAGCTAAGGAAGCACTGCTGGTAAGCATATGATTTGCTTATTGCATGTATCCTCCCATACCTGAAATTATTTACATCATGAGACTATTTTTCTGTCATGCTTTGGTTTTCATGTGATTACTTTCCAAAGTATTCTCTTATTTACACAATACTTGCTCTATAGATAAGCTTATGGGGGACTTTAACATATGCATGCAAGAAATTGTTTTCATTAAAATTAGTCTTTGTTACTTCCAGCATAACAAAACATATCTCGTTCACAACTTTATCAGTACAATTATTAACTTATTAAATTGTCATCAAGTGTGTAACTTTATTTAATTGAATAACTTTCAGGCACTTGTACCCATCACTGATGAAATGACCATCAGGTACGACTTCCATCGTTTCATCATAGGACAACAGGGTAAGGATGTACGCCGCATGATGAAGGAATATGATGTCAACATCTCCATTCCACCAGCTATGGATCACTGTGAGACAGTCAAAGTGACAGGTCCTCCAGCTAATGTGCGCAGAGCTCTGGCTGCTCTTTCAGATCGATGTGAGGAGCTGGAGAGAGAAATGGAGGATAGGGTAAAAATCTTGCTATTGAAAGTTGACAAATGCACTTTATTTACCTGAATTACATTGTGCTTTCATTTTATTTGTAATTTTAAGTTTGGGCTTTGGAATGAAGCAAGTTAAAATTCTCTTTTTGGTGTTCTTAGGAACTTAAAAGTTTTCAACTCACTATTGAAGTTGATAATAGTCTCCACCCGAAGATCATAGGACGTAGAGGTGCAGTTATCTCTAAGATACGAAAGGACCATGATGTCAACATCCAGTTCCCCAACCGTGATGACAGTGCCCAGAATACCATCACCATCACCGGCTATGAGAAGGCAACACAAGCTGCTAAAGAGGATATCTTGAAGATCGTACAGGAATATGTATGTCAAATTCATAATCTTGTCAATTGTGGGATAGAGAGGCTAGCCCAAAAATATTTTGATAATAAAGATCAATGTAACTAGAGTAGAGAAATTGGCTGGGTAAGAGGTTATAGAGGATGTTATTCTGTAGACTTTTTCAGTTGAATTAAACTAAAGCTGTTTATAAAGTCCCCTTTTAGGTCCTATGTTTACGCAACTTTGTGCATTTGGAATATATTTGGTTTTGATACAAATCAAACGTGGAGAAAAAATTCAGATATAACAGAAATGCAATTGATATTTCCCATTTTACGTTGTTAATCGTAGCTTATCAATGTTTTATAGGAGGAAATGGTAACCATGGAGTGTACTGTGGACCACAGAGTTCACCCACGTATCATTGGAGCACGTGGACGCAACATCCGAAAATTGATGGAACAGTTCAAGGTTGACGTACGTTTTCCACGATCTGAATCTGATCATCCTGATCTCATCTTCATCACTGGGGCAGAGGAAGCTGTTGCAGAATGTCAGGACTATCTGCTCAACATAGAAGAGGAATTTGTAAGTTACCATTTTGACATGTAGTATGGCATTGCCTTTCTGTTTGTTGTAAACTTCGCCTGGAAACCTCCTCCACATTTTTCAACTGTTTCAAACTTGATAGGCATAATCACCATGACATGAAGTCAGCTGAATTTGAGTTTATTCGGAAGATTGACTGCCCTTCTGTTTCGTTGTTTTGAATCAAATTTGGAGATTTGGTTCAATAACAATGATTTGTTTGTTGTTTTCTGGAACAATTTGATTCAACTGTCTTAGCGATATTTACTGCCCCTTATTGTTTTCATAATGATAACCATCCTCACTGTTTTCGGTGGATTTCTTTGGGACTTTGTAGACTTAGTCACCATTACATGAAATTTGGTTTTCCTATGCAGCAATTTGATTCAAGAGGCAGTTTTTCACCAATTTCTCTGAAACCTGTTGGGCTTTATATCTGTTACAAGAAATTGCATTTTCCTTAATAGCACCGTAAATTTTACAGGTTTGGGATGAGTTTTCAACAATTTTCTTTTAAAATTGTTGACTTGAAAATCTCAATGTGGAATTATGAACGTGTAGTATTTTGATTCAACAATTTTAAAAGGTGAAATGTTCATTTTTGGAGTTAAATCTTTGCTTGGGGTTTCTCTGTTTTCTTCACATATCATTAAAACTGGTAATGATTTAATTTATCATTAGAACATAAAGCACTGTTACCCGCTTGACTTGTTATTACTATTTCCATATTCATATTTTTTTTAATACAGTAAATAGCAAATATTTCTTCAGCTTGTGACAGATGTATGATTTTCAACCCCGCAGTACTCTCATTTCAACTGGTTTGACACCAAGTCATCTTAAATTCTCATTATATTATAAACATTGACAGTACAACCCTTTTGATGCTCTTGAGAATCCTTAAATGACTAGTCTAGAGCTGTATTGAAGTGGTGAATTCTTAATTAGATGAAGGATAATTCTAGTTTGAGAAACATGAGTCCATTGATTTTATTAGACACTAAAGGCAATAACTGTTTTACAGCTCCAGGATGTTATTGACCAGGAGGCAATGCGGCAACTTACCCAACCACCAAGTAGGCAGGTTGGTGGCGGCAAAGGTCAACCCGAGTCCAAACATGGTTTTGTTGTTACTGGCGCCCCATGGCATGTGGTTCCAGATACCACCAGCGTTGAAGAGTTTCCCTCGTTTGGTGCTGTCACTAATCCTAATCCTGGTCATGCCTGGGGACCGCCAGCCTTTGGCAAGAAGTAGATACTGCTAACCCAACTCAAGTTCACAGTAGATTTGATTTCTTTCCTCTCAACAGTGTTATAACATATGTGTGTTTGACTGGCCCTGTGTGCGACACCTATATTTCCTGGGACAGTTGACCCAGTGTGTCACCTGTCAGCTGTTTCCTTTAGGTTATATAGGTCAGACTTACCATTGTCTAGTATCTGGAAAGACTTATCTTAAAATACAATAATCCTGCAGGGATGTTCTCAAAACAGAAAAGTATTTAAAACTTTGAAGGGATATTATATATAGAAAGGACTAAAATGTGCCATTCTATTGATTTGTAAACATTCTTTGCAATGCTTCATTTACATAATTGTTTGCAACAACAATGCTTTTTGTTTATGATTATTGTACTTAATGGATGAGGGAGGGGGGACGGGTTATTATGGAGCTTGAATGAATGTTTGATGTATGACTGTGGTGCGCACTAAAGTGATTCATGTATCGATACGAAAAATAAATATTTGATATAACTAACATAGATTCCAGGCTGATTTTGCCTTATTCTCCTTTTTTTTTCTTTGTATATGGATACTGTTAAGACTATCATGACAATGTTATTGTGAAATCTGTACATTTTGTTTGTTATGCAAGCATTTTAAAGTTTTTTATCATTGAAATTTTTAACAATGATGCTTACAAATGGATTTGGGTCCTTAATGCTGCTCTACAATAAATTATTACAGAAGAATTTCAATTAACTTAGCATAATTATTCATTGGAAACACCAACTACTGATCATAGAAAAGTCTTTCAGTTTCTTTGGGCATGTTAAAACCCTTTTGTGTTGTCTGCTTTTACTTGTACAGAAAAAGTAAATATTTACATTTACTGAAGGCGAGTTGTGATGTACAATTATCATGTATGTAATTGGTTCTAAATATCTTCTGCTTTGTATTTAGTACTTTTTTTTTCAAATCATTGCTTAGGTCGTTTAGTGTATAATGGTTTGATGTGTAGTTGTGCACATCAGCAACAATTATGTTGATCCTGTGAACTGTGAAATCATTTGGTTCTATGTGGTGGTGGTCGTGTTAGTGCTACAATAGAATAATCATGTTTCATCATATATCTGATAACTATCTAATCTAGGTGACCCTAGATCTGTCATATCACAAGAAAACCTCATTTAATATCTGGTTGATATGTGAAATAGGATTCCAAGTGATTAATGAAGTGTGTTTGTTGTGAAAATGCAGCTATCCATAATGGTACGAATCTTTCAATATTTACTCTAACCATATCTAAAACTAGTCACTCTACCTTTTTACATATGAAAAATAAAAGTGTTCGAGTAAATGTGCAGTTTAGATGACTCATTGCAACTCGGAACTTGTGATGTTCACAGATTGAATTTTCTTTCCTATTGACTTAAAAAAAAAAAAAAACCTCTTGTTTAACTTTTTATAAGAAATGCATATTTTATCAGTATTTGATGTGTATTAATAATAAAAGGAAAAAGTTAGATGAGAGAACTTGACCATAAAACCGTTCATGATGGTACTTGTGACACTGTATTCCATCACTGTGAGATCCCCCACACCACAGTGTTGGTATTATCGGGGCTACATATCATCTCTGTGGTGAGAGGGTTCTTGTCATGATAAACATTTATGCAATATATATATATTTAGATATGAGCTATGTTCTGACCACAAGGTCCACATAGTTTTTCTCTGGTCAGGAGCATACCTCTTCTGTCACCATGGTAAAGGTCAAATATTTGCCTTGGGTAAATCAACTAGAGCCATGTTTCTATTACAATTGTCAAATGTTGCCATAGTAATAGTATGTATGGTTGTGCAAACAGACTTTGTTATTTTTTTTCTCAATTGTTGATTTTAGAATTTTAGTGTAAGTTGTTGATGGTTTACCCACAGCTGTGTAACATTGGACACAATTGTTTCACACTTTACACACACTATGTAAAAATTTGATTATACAAGAGACATTATTGCCACATTACCCATATACACATTATGATTTAAGGATATCAGCGACCTGTCAAGAACTACGTTCTTATCCTGCTACCCTACATTTACTGTGATTCGATGTTCTCCAGAACACATCAACAGAAAAAATAAAAATGGAGAAAAAAATACATTTTACTGGTGTTTGGCTCACTTTTTTAGTCCACCATCATCAGATGCTGGGACTTTTCAAATCGCCCTTCGTCTGTGATATGTCTGTAAACAAGTTTGAGCTGTAATACAGCACTGAGCTTTCTCATAACTTATCTTAAAATTTTTCTTAAGTGCTGTAGTTGGGACCTTTTGATTTGGGACTGACGAGGAAAATAAAATGGCTGACAATGACTATATTTGATTTTGACCATGAAAGTTTGTCATCGCAATTTCTTGGTATATAGCTGAATGGGGTTTTCTCTGGAAGTAGGTGTATTTTCTCCGTGGTCCCAAGTTGAATCTTTTTGATTTTGGGACAGATAGGGAAGAAATGGCGCTCAGACGGCCATCTTGGATTCGACAATGAACGTATACTATTGACTATTCTGAATAGATCTTTCTCAAATGTCGTTATGTAAATTTCAGTTGCTCAGTAATTTGGCAGACTATCGGTCCGTCTGTAAACAAGAACTTGTTATCGCAAATTCTTGGGTCGGGGATGGGGGATACTGGACGTATCTTTATCATATTACATAGAGAAGTTTCCCTTAATCACTAATTGCAACATTTTGATTTTTAGAACACCTGCGACGAAGTCCCATGACCTATCGAGATCACCGTTGCCCGTTAACAGTTTTAACATTTTCGACTTCTCAAAAACCCTTCAACTGATTTCAGTGAAAGGACCTCTTTCACGAACGATGGAATTTTGCCCACGACCCGATTTAATCCAAACAATGTGGCATTTATAGCACCCCAATATACCCCCCCCCCCCCCCCCCGGAAATAGCACTTAAAAAATTCAAAAGGCCCATGGGGCCTGAATTATCGAATTTGTGACATTTACTGAGGGTATAAGGTAAGGTTCAGAAATGGCTCCATAACAAGGCAAGGGTTCACCGTAAGGCTTACCACTTATTTTGTTCATTGGAATCTATTTGTCATTTTAAGCAAACATTATTTGTCAAATTTGGCATCAGAAAAAAGTTACGATCAATTAAATAAAGAAAAATGTTATTTTTTTCTTGATTTTTAGAACAAAGTTTGATCTTAGGAGGAGTGTTTCAAACTCTTCCGGTTTCGGTGCACCCAAGAGCTTTTAATATAATTTGGCCCCTTATATTTGCTGTTCTTAGTAAAAAAAAATTGAAAAAATTCGTGACCGGTAAGTTTGTCAATTAGCAGCTTAATTGCGTGGAGTCAGAATCTCGAAAGTGACGTCATGTGATTGATATGATGTTGAGATATATTTCTTATCTTGGTTTTTGTTCTTCAAAATATGAAACAGAGATAAAGAAAGTTTAGAGCTGACATTGGATATAAAAACATCTTTGTAAGTAAAGTAAGAGGCCTGGAGGGCCCGTATCAGTGCTTTAGATCAAGTCTCTTAGAAAACATATTCAGTATGCACAGTAAAGTTACACATTTCGTTATGAACATCTGCTAGGATAACTCACTATTTACTTGTGTGCACTTCATTCCATTTGACTTTATTTCATAAGATATATCTGGTAAATTTGTAGTTATAAAAAAGAGAAACTGTAACCGGTAATACTATTTGTAATACATGGTCAGAGTCTGCAAATGTAAGCTGTATTTTAAAACAAATGTAGCTTTTGACTGTCATCTTTTGATGCATGAATGTATGATCAGCTGTTGAAGTGATAATGGGTCGGAGAACATAACAAATACGTGTCTGGCGGTTTAATGTATTTAGTGCCAAATGCAATGTTTTCTACTACAATAGTTCCTCGGAACTGTATGTACAAAAATAAAAGAGAACATAAGAAAGACATTAAAGATTAAAGGTTTTAGTAAAGATCTGAATTATGTATAAAATTCCCTGTATAAATATTCAGTAAAGGTGCAAACTCTGTAAAAGGGTCACAGACGCACGCAAAAACATACAGTGTATTTCCGCTCGGCCAGAATACAGCAAAAGTATATGTAGCAGCTGTATTCCATTTACCGAAGCCCATGCAGTTGCAGGATAAAAAACTGTTATACTGTTGAGTTGAAATCCATAAATTCAATGATTCTGTATTGTAAATCAGCCATCCACTTGAGCCAGGTTATTATGGCCTTATTCCTGTAGTTAAACGTGGACGATGCCTATGAAAATGGTGTATCTTTAAGAACTGATATGGGCCCTCCAGGCCTCTTACTTTACTTACAAAGATGTTTTTATATCCAATGTCATCTCTAAACTTTCTTTATCTCTGTTTCATATTTTGAAGAACAAAAACCAAGATAAGAAATACATCACAACATCATATCAATCACATGACGTCACTTTCGAGATTCTGACTCCACGCAATTAAGCTGCTAATTGACAAACTTACCGGTCACGAATTTTTTTCAATGTTTTGGCTAAGAACAGCAAATATAAGGGGCCAAATTATATTAAAAGCGCTTGGGTGCACCGAAACCGGAAGAGTTTGAAACACTCCTCCTAAGATCAAACTTTGTTCTAAAAATCAAGAAAAAAATCACATTTTTCTTTATTTAACTTTTTTCTGATGCCAAATTTGACAAATAATGTTTGCTTAATATGACAAATAGATTCTAATGAACAAAATAAGTGGTAAGCCTTACGATGAACCCTTGCCTTGTTATGGAGCCATTTCTGAACCTTACCTTATACCCTCAGTAAATGTCACAAATTCGATAATAATTCAGGCCCCATGGGCCTTTTGAATTTTGTAAGCGCTATTTCCGGGGGGTGTATTGGGGTGCTATAATTGCCACAAGGTTTGGATTAAATCGGGTCGTGGGCAAAATTCCATCGTTCGTGAAAGAGGTCCTTTTGCACGCCCCGCAGGGGCCAAAAGGGACAAAGTGATTCAAATTTCAAAAGTCTTCTTCTCAACACATAGATATGGCAGAATCAAATGCTCTTTGTGGATGGGAGTGTCTTAAAGTGCTTTACTAGAATTGAGAATTTCATGGCCCCAGGGTCTTGCATTCCCCCTGGGGAAGGAGTGATGTTTACTGTATTTTAAATGTGAAAAACAGGTTTTTGAGCCTATTTTGTTTAATTTCCATTGGAAATATTTCAAACTTGGTTATAATTATAAGCAAAGGATTCGGCTAGATGACTGATGGGCTGATTGGCGGGGCCAAAAGAAGTGAAATTGAAATTTGAATAATCTTCTCAACACCTAGGTATGGCAGAATCAAATACTCTTTATTGCAGTTTTGAGCTTAACGTTGCTTATTCCCCACTGGAAATAACTTCACAGGAATTGTTAGTATAGGATGAGAGTTTTGATGCACGAACTGACACTGCCTTACTATAGTCATTGTCATGATTTCGTTTTCATGACGCTTGAAAGCTACTTAACATTTTAACTTCATACACAGTATTGCTTATCTCGAGTGACCGTCAAGATAAATAGGCCTCTTGTGTGAATGACTAGAAAGAGAAAAAAATCTGCTGAAAAGCTCCCGCATCGATAACGATGGAGAAAATATGGTATTAAACATAAACATAGAGACATATTTATGTCAGATTAAAATCTTTGGGTCCCGTTATTTGTTTTGTAAAGTGTCTGACTATCTCATTATTTCTTGATAGCTTTGTTTGAATGACAGCGGAAACGTATTTCCACAAGCTGAATTTCAGTCGTGTATATATAGTTTATTAAGAAATATTTAGTTGCAATAGAACACGCCTAAAGAAGCCACTAGCTTACCTAAAACCATAGTTTCTAGCTTCGTATGTCAATAACACTCGTACTGGTAAGCATTAGGTTGAGCTGACCTGTATAGTGGAGGCTGAAATTGTATCGGGTCGGCCATTGGTTTAGAATGCCACCGATACGGATTGGGGTTGCAGCTTCTTGCGTTTGAGGACTAAGTCGTTTTTCCTATTTGTTATATATTCTCGTATAACCACGTCAACAATAAAATGAAAATACAAAGTTGCAGAAATTCTGGCACATAGTATTAATATAATAAGGATAAGTTTTCACACAAGGTGTTAATGACGGTATACAATAGGCATAATTACCTAGAAGGTTAAATTATAACTATACTTGACACGTCAAACTTTATTTCTTCATTCAGTATAGACCTGTAAACATAACCCAAAGACCTTACTGTGTTGATGGTTCAATATGGCTTTTACCTAACAAAACTCTCAAACTACCTACACACATTTGTCTTCCATTTTATTACCAGCAATATCAAAACTCTGTTGTGTATCTTTTTAAAGGATAGGCCTATTTCTTGTTTCAATTTCTGTTTTAGAGTTACGTCCCTTTGGTCATATGGCTGAAAAATACCTGTCATCATTGACTGAATTGTGGTTTTGGCTACAGCTTCAGAAATTCTGCATTTACATTGGACTTGCCAATTTTAGCTCACCTGGCCCGAAGAGCTAAGCAAGCTTATGCCGTGGCGCGTTGTCCATCGTTCGGCGCCCAGTTTTTACTTTAAATAACTTATTCTCAATAACCAATGGACCAAATACTTTGATATTTGGGTGGTATATATCAAGAACGATGCCTGACACAATTCATGAAAATAAATTACCTTGATTGATAATTAAAGTCACAGGGGTCAGATTTGTAAAAACATCAAAATACATCTTCACATGATTAAAAAAAAGCCTAGACGCATGATATTTGACTGGTACGTTCCAATGATAAAGGCCGACAAAGTTTGCAAAAATAATGACCTTGGATTAATTCGAGGTCATAAGAGTCAAATTTGTTAAATGCCTAGAGGCATGATATTTAATTTGTACGTTCCTAGAATGAAACCAGACAAAGTTTGGAAAACGAAATCACAATGGCTGAAGTTCAAGGTCACAGGGGTCAAATCTTTTAAAACATTTAGACGACTTCTCGTGAACTGAAAGTCATAGAGGCATGACAGGGGGGCATTTAGGTAGATAGATAGATAGATAGATAGATAGATAGATAGATAGATAGATAGATAGATAGATAGATAGGACCTAGAGAGAGAGATGGAGAG